TTTACTAAGGGCCACCCATGTTTAACAAATTTACTCTCATTTTTTCTAGCACATTTCAAGCAGTCAATAGTGGAAAGGATTGCAACATTCTATATCTTGACTTTAGCAAAGTCATTGATTCTGTGCCTCACAAGAGACTCATTAGAAAGTTAGAAGCACATGACATTGGGTTTATCCTAAGGTTTATCCTAAGTTGGATTAAGGTGTGTTATCTCAGAAAAATCAGTTAGCATAATTAGAGTCAAGACCGAGTGGAAAATCATCGTAAGCTGAGTGCCCCAGGACACTGTCCTGGGACCTTTGTTGTTTATCATACTGCATATGGAAATTATTTACACACAAGGTTGAACAGCAACCTTTACAAATTTGTACGCACACAAACAGGGTGTAAAATAAATTGACACAAAATTGCTGCAAGAAGATCTAGATAAGCTATTAAATGGATGAAAGATAGATGGATGCAGTTTGGTGCTGAAAGAAATGAAGGGCTGTGAACTTAATAGTAAGTTATCAAAAACTCGCTGGATAGTAATGGAATTGCAAAATCTGAACGAGAAAAAAATCTAGGAGCCATGATTAGTAGGGAACTTAAACCAAGAAAATCACTGCATAAATGTATGGAATAAAGAAAATGGGACACTAATATATTTTTAGAAGCATTAGCAATAAGACATCTATTTGGATAATACACACTTGTGTACAGTGTATTTGTGAAATTTATGTAAAGAAATTACATGAAGTCTTTTGCACTCTCCTGAGTGTTTTATCAAGGTCTGAGTGCATGATTATGACAAGACTTACATCTCGACGTCTAATGTCATTAGACATTAGACGCTGAGAAGTAAGTCTCATCCTAATCACACACTCAGACCTTGGCAAAGCACTCAGGAGAGTGGGAAAGACTTGGTGTGAATTATTTACATAAATTTCACAAATACACACGTGTCGGTGTTTATCTTATGTTATTATATCTGTGAGAAGACATTAACATCTTGCCCGAAACGCTATGCGTACTAGTGGCTTTAGGTATTGTATGTACTACCTCTATCTTTAAATCAAACAATGTTTGTACTGTAACTCTGCAACTATGTATATACTTTTCCTAAATAAATTATTATTATTATTTAACATTACTTAAGACATCTAATGTTATTCTCCAGCTTTATCTTTACCTTGTTAGATTATGCAGTTTAGTTCTGGTCTCTGTATTACAGAATGGACAATAATTCACTTGAATGTGTACAGAGAAAGATAGCAAAATTAATCCCAGGAATTAGAAACTTTCTCTATGAAAGATTGAAAAACACTTAATTCGCATTCTCTGGAAAGATGAAGAGTAAGGCATGACATGACTGACGTATACGAATGAATCAAAGGGTATAACAAAGGGATATAAATAAGGTTTAAAATATATCAACACAAACAGAACATGAATCAATAGGCACAAATTGGATGAGTTTAGATTCAGGAAAGACCTGGGTAAATACTGGTTTTAAACCCTGTCTTTACTGGGTAAAGACAGGGTTTTAAATTTACGGAACAAATTACCAGGCAACATAATGGACATGAGATCTCTGGATTGTTTACAGTGTAGCTTAGACATGTACTGTACATGGCCAAATTTGGTTGATATAAATTGGAACTGCCTCGTACGGGCCACTAATCCTTTTGCAGTTTTCTTTATTCTAACGTGATCTGTTAATATTAGCTGTACACAACTTTTTAACAAGTTACCAGCAAATATGAGAAATACTGTAGGAATGCTTGTGTAGGCCATCAAGAAGGACATAGGAACATTCCTATCTGGTGCTTGATCAGCTAGGTTGTAATGACTAATTTGGCATCTAAGATGCAACACCCTGACTTACTTGGAAGCCAGCAAAGAAGCCTCACTTCAGGCCAGGGTGGTAATGTAGAAGCATTCTTTAAAATAATTTACAGATAATTTAAAGAAAAATATTTTCAAAAGTTATGCTTTTGAACAGAGGATGAATTCCAGTTACAATTTTTGACAATGAAAAATTAAAAAATTGATTCTTCAAACCAATATCTACTCTTGCCTAATTTAAATTAATACTTTGCTATATCCTTTTAAACATTAAACAATGGTTTGATGAATTTGTAAGCCGAGGATGCAACCTGTCCTCTCGACTAATACAACATTAAGGTCCTGTAGCACTGTTGTGTTAATCTAGGATTAGCATAGTGCCGACCTGAAATTTCGGCCATTAAGCAGAATTCATAGCACAATTTTGGTTCCTATTGTGCCAAATGTATTTTGTAATGGTGATAATAAATAGTGTGTGTGTACAAATTGTTTGAATACCCAGATTTTTGTAATTGAGGCTACTATGTAGAGTATGTCTAAAGGTTGTCCCAGTACAGTACATCTATATGGTCATCAGTAATCCCATATAGCACAAGCACCCTGCAAATAGAGTAACTATGAATAATTTTGTCATCTTGGGGGATCATGTGGAAAATGCTGCCAGGTTTATTTCGGTAATCGTGTACATTGTTTTTGATAGATATGACGAGTACTGTAATAGGACACGTGTGTGTTCTTGCTTATACCACTGTAACTACAGGAAGTACTGATTTGAATCTCAGTAACTCAATTATCTGGGTAATTCAGCCAAAATCAAAGGTGAGTTTTGATATCACTTGATGCAGACAGAAATTAAGTACAGTAATACCTAATACTGTACTGACAATATTTTAATAGAATGAGGGTATGGAACCCACACTCAATCACTTGCTGATATCCACAGTACCAAGCCTCTATATGAGTACCAAGCCTCTATATGACAAAATCACACGTCCAACAATGGGTGTGAGGGGGGGGGGGGTTTGTTTACTGGATTGATTCAACTACTCAATCCTGTAGTACAGTCGGGTTCATTCTCTACTCACAATCGAGAATTCTGGGTTCAAATCCTGAGCGAAACAAATGGTTGAGTGCATTTCCCATTACCTAATGCCCTGTTTACCTAGCACTAGTAGGTATCCAGGAGTTAGTCAGCATGTTGTGTGGTTGTATCCTGGAGGAATGGGGCAGAAATTTGACCGAAGGGGAGGGGGGGGAGGGGCGGGGACCTCGATATAAGCCTAACATGTAGATATACACTGGCTGACTCTCCCCCAATAGTATATTAACACTGTGCACTGTGTGCTACTATCCAAATAATTCAAAACAATGTACATTTTCAATGCACATTGTGCATTTTCCCAAATTTGTTGTTCTCCAACAATACTTACAGAAATTTTATAAACCAGAAAAGAAAAAAATTTGAATATCAACGAGACAACCCTTATGGGTTGTGCTAGGCCCACATATTTAACCCGCTGGGTAGATCGACAATATATTATTATTATAATTACTGGTATGATAGGCCTAAGCCTAAATATATTACTGTAAAGCACAGTGCTTTCACACGAGCAATTAGTAAATCATTTAAATAATTTGGCAAAACATATCCTATAGATGATGAATACAAGCCCATCAGGAACTGCAATAATAATTTATTTATTAATACTGTATTTAGAAACAAGGCAGAATTAACAACTACTGTAATGTACTATAACCCTTGGCATAGTTAAGGGCCATTATTCCATCGACTCTTAAATGAATTCTGATCAAGATCTTTCTCCAATACAATTTGCTTTCTAACACAGCACAGAAACCTACCAACAGCTGCAAACATGACAGGGCTGATCTCATCAAGACATTCAAAATACTAAACAAATTGGAGGATATTAATCCAGACCACTTCTTTAAAAGGTCAAATGTAATGCATACAAGGAAGTTGAGCTTCAACTTCCAGCCATAATGCAGAAGAGAAAAGTTTTTTCACCATTTTAGTTAGGCAGTCAACACTTTTAACTGCCTACTTACTGAAATTGTAAATGCCAAGATATTATTTCTCAGATAAAAAAAAATCCTCAGGAGCAATGAGGGACCTTTGGCAAGCTGCCAGCTACCTGTCCTTGGCAAAGCCACTAGAGAGAGGAAGTGAGAGAGTAGCTCTCAGGTAAATTCAGTTCAATGTAAATACTGTAGTAAAATACAAAAAATACTTAGATTTCATTTTCATCTGCTATTTTTGCAAATCCAGTCGTTTAGTTTTAGGAGGGATGTACCGACTTACTCTAACTCGCCTTAAAGCTTAACATCAGAATGAAAGGTTTCACCACAGTTTGTTCAGATACAAGTCACTTTGTACAGCAGACAGTTCACATGTCTGTGAACATGCCAAAGAGCCAAAGCTCAACCCTGGCAAGCACAACTAGGCGAGTACATATGAACTTCCTAATGTAACTTAATCCACGATATACATTACGAATATGTGATGCCCACTGTCTAGTGTAAATGTATTAAATGGTTATTATACAAAGTACAAAATACATTTATAAAAAAAAAAATTTTATGCATGAAGTAAGTAAAATGCCAGTGTACAAAATGACCGGATCCCATTTGACCTCGTGCCTTGGAAAGTGATGAAACGGATCACTGTACGCATCACTTTCCGCAGGGTCGTGTGCCTGCACAACACACATAGGTTACATAAAGTACAATAGACTAGGAGGAAACAACAACATTGGTGCGATCTGGAATTAACGTAAAATGAAAGATGCAGCCGTTTAATCTTTTCCAAATTTAATTTATTTTGTTTTAAAAGGACAATACATCAATTTAACAATCGAGAACAACATTCAGCACACGTCATATTCAACAGTTTCACCAACCATTATTTAAATGTGATGTCAGTCCTTGGGTTATGAGTGAAGATGATGACAGCTCTCAAGAGCATCCACCTGACCATAAGCAACTACTGCAAGGGAACCAAACGCATTACAAAAAATTGAGGGAGGGAATTAGCGGGGAAAAGCGCCAAGCCATTACGACTATATAGCACTGGGACAGGATAAGGATATGGGATGGGCAAAACAAAAAAAGGTGAAAAATCCCTTCAAAAACAAGACGGCACAAATCCACATACCTGGTACTTCGGCGCATTATTCAACTGCGGATAATTTCCCTGCGAATCCCCATTGTGTAACAAGTGATTATCGACGAGATTCCAACCCCAGGAGTGTTCGTCGGAGCCCAGGAGTGCCACGTACCCCGGGCACTGTACGGCCGCCTCCCTGGTGGCTATGCCAATGACGGCCACCGTGCCCAGGGGGCCCTCCCACACCACCTCCCAGGCATGCCGCCCTGACCTGAAGCCAATCTTACCCCGGGCCCCATCGGTACTCTGGGCCACAGGGTTCCGGTGCAGGGTGAACCCGTTGGGCTTCACGTAGATATTCCTCGAGCAATCATTGGGGTTCCACGCGTGGTAGAAGGCTCTCAATTTAGCCTTATAAGTGGGCACGGAGGATAATAAATCGGATTTAAGGGCCTCTTCGGCTAGTTTCCTGACGCAGTGGAGCCGCCACACGTCGTTGTTCTCGTCGTTGAGGTACTTGTACCAGGTCTTGCACACCAGGGAACAGTTGCGCAGGTCGTGCACGTCCAGGTACGAGAAGATGACCTCCAAGACGTGATCTGGCAGGGAACACCAGGTCACCATCTTGCCGGGAGCATGAGCACGGGGCAGCGGTATAGAGCCGGGAGAACAATACGCTGGCCCACCATTACCACTACACACATAGGTGGCGCGACACTCACTACACCACCACTGGTGCCTCCAACACTGGCGGCTCCTCCAACACCTGACTGTCGTCGTCGTCGCCACTACCACAGCTGACTGTCTCCTTGCCTGCCTGTCAACGCTTGCACCAAGCTCGACATTTGACAGGCAGGTGGTGGCTGGGACTCCATAACACCCGCTGTCTTCCCACACATGTGACTCGCTGTCACATATATGTGTTCTCGCTAATACACAGAAAGACGTCTTTTCCTCCCATACATGTGACTCTCCCTCTCACATATATTAGTATTCTCGATTGATTGATAAAGATTAAGCCATCCAAGAGGTGGCACGGGCATGAATAGCCCGTAATACATATTCTCCTCTCTAACACATATATATATACCCGCAGAGGCGTGTCTCACGCCTTAGTTTACACTATATAAACCTGAGTTTACATTAGTGCTCTACAAAATCTATGTATTAGTTGTCATTGATCCATTGTTAAGGTTTATTAATAACCAACCATAGGCTGGTAGGCCTAACCCCAACACCAAACCTTATTGTGTTATTTGTCTTTGTATATTAAGATGTGATATTTTGCACGGATACAATTGTTGTAGAGTGGTTACTTTTGCTAATTGCACTTTATTATAGGCCTTGGCTAGTAAAGAGTAGGTTAGATTACATTAATGCACGTTTTTAAGCACATTTAAGTAAATTTATGGAAATCTTTGAAATGACAGTTCTGAAAGCTGTCATATTAACTTGTCCCATTAAAGGAAAATGTCAAGGTTAAAAAAAGCAAATATCAAGACTATAAGTTTAATGAATATAGGAAACTGTACAGTGCCTATAAGCATTATTGTTTATATGAATTTAAGCTTCATGCCTACATTTATATATGTTAGGCTTTGTAGTTTACTGTATTTGGCCCTATACAATATTGTGTAAAGGTGCTGTAATGTAGCAATTAGCACACTCCCCATTGTTAATGTACCTGGGTTCAAATAGTGGGTGGGAGGGAAGGGATGGGAATTATCAAGGGAAAGCGCCAAGTCATCACGACTATATAGCACTGGGAAGGGGTCAGGCTAAGGATTTGGGATGGGAAAAGGGATGGGGGGGGGGGAAGAATGGTGCCCAACTATTTGGCCAGTCGGGGATTGAACGCCGACCTGCATGAAGCGAGACTGTCCACCCCAAGTGGTGGGAGGGACGATTGGGCACTTAAAAAAAAAAAAAAAACTTTAACCCATATATATATTCTAATGTAAGTTCCTTGTGAATGGGCACTTTTTATTTTTTGTATTATATAAATACTTCATTTACCCCCCCTCCCCCAAGGCACCCAGCAGTAATTAGGGACCTGGATGCCAAATGATATGCAGGTTGTGATGTGGGGAATAAGTACAGTAGTACTAAATACCCTAACAAGTTCCAGTTTCCTGGCCTTAGGCTTAAATTAAGCTGTAAAAACTTCTGGTGTTTCCCCATCTGGAGTACTGTATTCAAGCATGGCACTCTTGCCTTCAAAAATACAGTATTGTACTGAAATTATCCGAGGGCCACTAACACTAGTCACTTCGACGAAGACAGGAAGCCGGCAGTTTTTGAAGGTCCCCCCCATTTGCCTTGATGATCTTTTCCAGTTGGACTTTAAAATTTAACGGAGTTTTGGCAGGTAGGTTGTTTCATGGATTTATAATCCTGTGGGTGAAAAAGCATCTCCTATTCTCAGTCCTACATTGTGGCTTGTTGAGCTCAAAACTGTTGCTCCTTATTTGTGTTACTTCTGACCTTTTGGAGAAGTTGTCTGCATCATCATCCAAATTTTTCAGTATTTTAAAAGTTTCGCTGAGATCTGCCCTTTCATGCCTTTTTTCTAGTGTTTAGTTAGCACAGAACAGTCGGTCCATTTTGAGAAATGACTGCCCATCTTTATGTAGGACAAAAAAATGGAAATGCTTTTTCACCCTTAGGGTAGTAATATATACATTATATTACATATATAGAACCGTACATCATAATATAGGACATTAGTTTAAAATTGAACTGAAAAGATCCTCAAATAAGAGGGGACCTTTGACAAGCTGCTGGCTTCCTGTTCCTGTCGTGGCCACTGGAGATTGTGGCCCTCAGGAAAATAAATATATACTGTAGTTGATATGTTAGACTTATATTGCAATGTATTGTAGAGTACTGAATTGTTAGCTGGATACCAAGCAATCTGAATAATTTAGTTTACTGTATACAGTAGCAGTATTTCAGATGAAAGGAAAAGATCAAGGATTTGTGGTGTGCATATTAAATTGGATTATGTGTAGAATTGCACATAATCATAATGATTGTTTCAGATCATTGTATACAGTACTGTATATATAATTTTAAATCTCCCTCTCTCTAAGGATTAGTAGAAGATTGACATTGAAGTCACTCAGTATTAGAAGACAGGAAACTGTTTTTCTTTTGGAAGAGAGAATCCAAGAAGACAATGATAGAAAGAGTTAGTCATACACACAACCGACAAGTTTAATAACACTTTAGACAAATTTTGAGCTAAAGAGCATCAAAAGTTCACTGCATTACTTTAAGCAACATAGTTGTACAGTATATGCAAATCAATTTTCTTTTTACCTAGGTGGTGGGGAGGGGGGTGTTATCTATTTCTGATGGGTTGAACGAAATCCCTTATGGAAACGTTGGCCTTGCTCCATATAGTTCGTTCAAATGAGTCCACACACTATACATACAAGTTAGAATCACTATACTGTATCAGTATGCAGAACTCTGCTAGCACTGCACCTAGATCGTCTCACACCCTTCTTCATTGTCTTGTTCAGTTGTTTACTCTAGTTTTCTCGCTAATATCTTTATATATCATATTGTAGTAAAAACAATAATATTGACAGTTAAACGAATAGCTTCATAATGTTAAAAGGTAGATAATGTGGGTCAGAAATATTATAACAACTGGTAATGTTTCTTCTCAGTGGTGTAATTTTAGTTGGTAAATATATTTCCAACATAACATCAATTTCATTCATATATATGTTGCAGAGTGCTGGGATGCCAGGTGATGGAGAATATGAGCCCTTGGCTGACCGACCATTGTTTGGCAATGGGGAAGCGCGACCTCGAGTGAGTATAAAAGAAGATTAAAAGTAATCAGATTTTAAAAGAGTACTGTACTGTGATGTTATACAATACTGTACAGTACTTCAAAAATTAGACGTACAGTACTATAGTAAAAACATGTTTAAAAGCAAGTTTGAAATTGAAAAGGGACGCATATGTATGTATGTACAGTATACATAAAGGCTAAAGGGGGGGACCTTCGACAAGCCGCCGGCTTCCTGTCCTCCTCGAGGCCACTAGGGTTATTGACCCTCAGGTAAATCAGGTATGTATATTACTGTCTGATTCTGCATTACTGTGATCTATAAAGATCTTTTTCTCTAGTACTGCTATACAATATGTACAATAAAGACATTGTAACTGATTGTCTTGGAAAAATAATAGAATTGGCAAACTAAAAATGTTAGTGTACTGTACCCAGTTGTTTTCCCCTCAGGACAAAATGGTGAATGCCTTGATCATCGTTGTGACAACATTGCTGGTGATTATAACATCAATAAGTGCATTCATCCCCAGTCCCGCCTTCCTGGACATATGGTTTGTGTTCTGCATCATCCTTATCTGCATCTCACATCTTACTCTGGTAATTTGATATTGACTCTTCTCTACTGTTTGGTTTCTCTGATTTTTTTTTATATATAAAATGTTTTCTTATTTTAAAGGGTTAAAACAGTGTTCTTGTTGACCCTTGCCTCCAGCTGCGGGGTCAGAGAGCTTTATGCTTTCCTCTAGAGGTGGGGGGTTCTGTTCTTTCAGCCCTGATGGGCAATTTCTTTGCAGCCTTCTCCTCCTTGTCTCCAGAAATAGGTACAGTATTTCATTACATTCAGCACTAGTTATTTTTTTTACCGGGGGTATAGTAGGGGTTTGCCAGGGACCTGACAGTTTGATGGAAGTCCCCCCATGCAAAAAATTGGCCTTTCTCCATAAAATTAATTTGTGCAAGTTCACAGCATATGTGGATTGGGGATAACACTAAGAAAGTAAATGAGAGATGTGATATGTGTGAAAGGAGTCAGGGAATGAAATATGGAGCGAGTGAATTGCAATACACAGGTGATGGAGAAACGTGAGAAGCAGGCCTGATAATCATTTAATATGAGAGTGTACACAAATGAAATGAGCAGATTATTAGATGCTGAGTGAAAGGTTTGTGTGGTGGTAGAGCCTCCTGGAGAAACTTGTGGTGGCCATTCCCCGAGAGGGAGTAAGACATTGAGGCTGTAGCATAGGATGACGCTATGCTGTATTCACTACACACATAAATCACAATAGCGTGATATATTAAAGGAACAAATCCACAAGGGCCATGATGAGGGTTTGAACCTCCACATGAGATGTTCCCAGATGCACCTTAGTCAACTGTACCATGACATGGTCTATGCTGTATTCTATTGAGATTTTATGTAACATTGCTTTAACGTCAGTAATAAATATGGATAGGATTAAATTTTATATCAGTTAAGGGAGATTATTTATTAACATTCTATTAAAAAATTATCAAAATATGAAAACAAATAATGAAGTATTTTACTCTAGAATAGAGAAGTTTTCAGTAGATTAAGTAAATGAGACAAATTGTTGACAGTGAAAATGTTATAGGTCAAACTTCTGTTTCGTTTGCAGATTATATGGTACAGACAAGGAGACCTTGATCCAAAATTCAAGAAACTCATCTACTTCAACACCTTATGTATTGTAATGCTTTGTATATGTGGAAATATCTTTTTCCATCAAACCAAGGCAACTGATTGAATGTTCAGTGTCAGGCAGTAAATTTAAGTATGATATGTACATGATTCCTATTCTTTCTCAAAGCCTAGTTATTAGATAACAGAATCTTTAAAATTAAAATATATCTTTTTTACTACATACGTAATTCTTGTTTTATTTTTATGTAAGTGAACACTGTGATGAGGTGCAGGTTTTTTCCTTTATGCATTCCTGACCTTGATTTAGAAATTAGTGTTAAAAATTATCATTATAAGCAAGAAGTTCATTAAATTAAATGAACATTTAATTTAATTGAATATTCTTTAATTATAAATGCTAACGGCAACATTACCAGAAGAT